AACATACCCTTGCCATAGTCCCTGTTAAAAAAACAAATGAGTTCGTCCCTCATTCCCCTTTCAATATTCCTCACCTCTTCAAAACCGTCCGTATGGATTAACCGAACGACTTTTGCATTATTTACTGTGCTTTCAGAAACCTTTTCCCTAATTCACTCTTTATGCCAACTTCAGTGGTATGAGTTGTGACAGCAGGGCTAGAATGTCTGGGGTAAATCCTGTTCAATATGACAGTGATTTCGATCCATGAAATACTTCACCTGATCATTAAAATTCCACATGTTTTAATTTGCGAAATCTGCAGAGACAATCAAATGGTATGGAATTTGTGCAAAGGCTTAACAATTACAGAATCTAGTTCACTGAACGATGATCTTACAAGTGTGAAGTTCCATTATATTTCGAAACGAGAGTGTACAGACTTTTCAAGGAAAGAAGTGCGCTTGTTTATCATTAAATTTGAACTTCTTAATGTTAATGTGTCTATGTGAATGTATAATTTACGCTATAAACGCTTGTAAGTTTTTTTTATATAACAGACCGCATCGTGGTCTAGTTGCCAGAGTTCCTGGCTACAAATCCAGAGGTTCCGGGTACAATTCCCAGCGCTACCAGGTTTTCTGAGAAGTAGTGGGTCTGGAACGGGGTCCATTCAGCCTCGTGAGATTAATTGAGGAGCTATTTCAAGGAAATAGCAGCTCCGGTCTAGAAAACTGAGATTAACGGCCGCGGGGATCCATTACGCTGACAACGTGGCACCCTCTAATCGCAAAATTTGGCACTAACTTCGCCGACAAGCGGCGTTGGCTCGGCCGGTATAGTTCGCTTGCGGACTACATGCCACGGAGTTATTTATTTTTTGTTTTGTAACAGACATATAATATGTGAACGCAGTGAAATGATTACACTACAACAGCATCGCGTTTGTTATTCTTAATTGCTTTTACGACAGTAGTAAGCGGGAATGGAAGCGGCCTCCGTAGTCTAGAGGTAACGTTCCCACCTCATGACTCGTAGTACGCGGGTTCAAATACCCGGCGGAGGTCGTCGAATTTTTAAGGGCGGAATAATTCTGGGAACAACTCCGGGAGGGACTTTAAGCCGTGGGTCCCGTGTCGTAGCTTTACGGCACGTAAAAGAACCTCATATCTCCAAAGGAGATCACTGAGCCAAATTAACGGACGTTTCCCGCCCAACAGTAGTCTCTAATACCTCTGGTAGATGGGGGAAGCATTATAGATACCTCTCAGCTATTAGAGCCGGTCTCGCTGGCTGGGCGGGACTGATGGTAAGCACCAGTACCGGTAGGATATAGAGACCGGTAGAAATCATAGAGGGAAGCACAATGGACCAATACAGGTCTCAGTGCATGGGGAAACCCACCCTCTCCAATAACTAACTAACTAACCGGGAATGGAATCTTAAAAAGGAAAGTTTCAGAGAGACATGCCGCGCAGTCCTAGGTTGAAACATATGAACAGGAACCGTGATGCAAATTCATTCTCTTTTTTTATTTGTGAGAGTTTTCAATTTTTACTGCAGTGTTGTGGGATCAGCGTACTGGCATGATCCAGAAAGAGGCTGATTTTTTATCACCTTTAACAAAGAGGTAGAAATTTTCACTACACGTGAAACTTTTAATTAAATACGCTTTCAAAATCCTCTGTTCAAGTAATTTATTGAACATAATATTACACTGCTGAAGTGTAAATATTCTTTTCGAAGATAACGTCAACAATAACATTTTTATTTTCTCATAAGAATTGTTTGTGTTCATCATTACCTCTTTTAAATGCAGTGCCAGGACAGGACCAGGTACTCAAAACAACACCGTGATGCGGGGGGGGGGTTGACCGTCCTTCCTCGACTGTATTCCTGGGTAAACATACTGCCACATGTCAGTGACTAGAAACTGGCTTTGGATTGCTAATTGAATTTATTGGACTCATAACTCGCGACTGAAATCTCCCAGAGCCGTAAGACAGTAGAATATGGCCATGAGTCCCGTGGTACTCGGACTCAAGAATAACTATGCTGGCGAAAGCCTCAGCAATTTAGCAGTGAGACAGTCTGTCAGTAACTACATGTAACTTTAAACGTTTCACGGAACTACACACTATACGGATCACTGTAAATGCGGCACAAAGTATTCTTTGTCTTCACTAGTCGTTTTTCAGTAACGGCTCCCAACAATAGATATTCCTCTGCTTTCGTGTTAACGTCCAGTTAAGCTACTTTTAGTCGTTTAAGCAGACATAGTCCTTCAGTTTCATTTACTGATTTAATGGTCTTTTTACTTCATTTTCTCATAAATCTAGCTCTAGACTGAGCTGTGATACTACGAGTATCAGGTCCTGTATAGTAAACTATTTGTGTTTTCTGTTACCAACTGAAACAAGCATCCCTATATGATACGTTTAAGAAAATTTATCGCCTATTCATAGGATCGTTATGAATTAATTAACTTATCATTTGCCCTTTATAGTTGCTTATATTATTATTATACATCCATTCGTTGGGCTTTGGCCGATTTTTCAGTTTCTTAATCCTATACACAGTCGGTACGACTCCTTTGACTGGTGATCAGCCCGTCGCAAGGCTTCTACCTGCACACAAAACAACACAAACACAATAAACGCACACACACATCCATGCTTTGAGTGGGATTCAAACCCACGATCCCAGTGTTCGAGCGGGCGAAGACAATTTATGCCTTAGACCGCTCAGCCATTGTGATGGGCAGTTGCTTACATTATCATCGAGTAATCGTGTAGGTCAGTTGTAACATTCTGTCCTCGGGCTGAGTAAAATCACGATAGCCGATATCCGAACGGGGAACCTACTGAACACGAGTTTGCAGCGTTGCCACTAAAGCAGTCCGTTTGCTAAGGACGAGTGAAGGAAAGGTTATGGAACGAGAGAAGTAGAAACTAATGATAAATATGGTATAGCTTTTACTTTGCCGTTTGGTGAATTCAGGACTTTCGGTACGTAAACCGAACAGAATTGCTATTCTTGCAATAAGCAGTTTACGGAGCTGTAAACCTGAGTAAGCGATCCAAAATTGATAATCTCAACCATACAATCTGAAGAAAATTGACAGTAAGAAAGGCAGCGAAGGTCAGGCAACGGAATGATAGGGGGCGACATCCTTCAGCACGCCCAACACAGGACGATTGTTTCCCTTGTCCTCCCCCCCGCCGTAGCTTTAGAATAAAGGCTTTCCATGTAAGCTGTCATTGGGTCGCCAGCACGGTGAGGCCAGACACGTGCTAGAAATCCCAGACCACACTACAGCAATGGACGTCGCCTGGGAAAGAGCTGTGACAGACTTCGTCTGCAAGAGAACCAGACGACAAACAGCACGCTTCCTGCTAAACAAAATGCAATAGAAGTCAACACATGCCACCACGAAGAGAAGGCGTAAACACGTTTGTCTTTCGTCAATAGTTTCACATAAGCCATTTAAGAGGAACTTTCCAGGAGCAACTTGTGATGTACCAATGGACTATTTTCATACAGCAGTCCTCAATTCGGGGCCCTCAGTACGTCTTACAACAGTCGAAAATCGATAACATAAAATTTTTTAACTCTATATGAGATTTGAATCTTTTTCATCATCGACCGCTCAGCTTGTGTCACTATCATATGTCACCGTGAAGCCTAGAGCGAAGAGGGTTGCCTGGAAATAACGCTCCAAATTTGTATTCGAGAGGTGCAAGTTTCGAATACTGGCCTGGATTCTTCGTGTTGTTCCTCAGTCCCTCCAGAAAAATACCGGGATACGAGCATTGCCTCATTACGCCACGACCACTTTCTTCAGGTTCCTTTTCAGTTCATTATTCTATTTATTTCATAATGAAAACAGATAATTGTCACAGATATTTAGAGGTTCAGTAACAGATACATCAATAATGTGTACGTATACAGAATGTCCAAAGAGAAAAGGTCACCATTCTGGGAGGTCACAGTATCGGTCATTCTAAGCAAAAATTTCATATGCAAATGTGTCTTATTCCAAACGGTTTCCGAGGTAGATTTGGCATTTGAGAAGATATACTGAATTTCTCATATCACTCCTACAATGTTAAGAGCCGGGACAGTGCAATCGGCATAGCGACTGGCTACGGGCTGGACGACTAAGGGATCTGAGTTCGAGTCCTGGTGGAGACAAGAATTTTCACTTCTCCATGTTGTCCAGCCCGGTTCTGGGGCCCACCCAGCCTCCTAACCAATGGTTACTGGGGACTCTTTCCGGGCAGGTAAAGCGGCCGGGGTGTTGAAGCTGACCATTCACCTCCAACTAGTGCTGAGGTCAAGGAAACGTGGGTCTATACATCCACTCACTCCTATGTCTTCATGGCGTGATGTTTAATTACTTAAGCACACGGACAACTTTACCTTCCATTATACAAAGCCACTATCAACAGTCACAACGGCCAACTGACGCTTCACTCCGATTTACGTGCAGGAGGGAAAAACCATATTGTCTCTAAGTCAAAACTTCTGTACAGTGAAATAGCTCTATCTCGGAAACCGTTCTGAATAGGACACACGTACATATAGAATGACCGATACTATGACCTCCAAGAATACTGACCTTTCTTCCTGGAACATTTTATATAATGTTCTGTTAATAATGTTCAAATCAAAGACTGGACATATAATATGCCTATTTATGAAATAGATGAGGAATGCATGTAACATGTTCGTCGAAAACTATGAAAGGAATAGAACATCTGGGAGACCTTGTCATAGATGGAAAGATATATATGCCTTGGCAATGCTGGATCAATTATTTTGTCACGTGTACCGAGTGACTATGGACGGGTTTTGGATTGATGATCGGATTTATTGGACTCTTGGATGCAGCGAGTGACTACATTTTACAGTTCACTATTACACACACACTAGTGTTCACAGCCACACCTTAACTAGCCGTTGCTCGGTAGTGGCCTCCGATTTTCTCCTTTGTCTGATTTTATGAACTGCCTCCGGCCTCAACTACAGCTACTCTCGACAAGCTACTGACTATGACTAACTTCTCATTAACTGTCCTGTTTACATCTCGGCACGGACAGCACAGAAAACGCCGTTCCTCTGTTGATTTACGTGCCGTTGTGTAGTTGTTTGTTTCGCGGCCATTGCGTAGCAATGGGTTTACGTGCCACAACACTGAAAAACAGGGGACTATGTTTAAATATTATACACTTATTAGTTATTTATTGGTGTTTTGCTAATTTTAATAAGTACATTATCAATACTGACATTTTTAGAATTAAAAAACTATGAAAAATTTTACATTAATTTTTATATTGCTACGAACAGAATATACAAAGGGCGAATATCTTCTGAAATATAACGTCCCGTAGTCTCGTAAATCATTACCACTGCTTCGGGGTAACGTGCTACTTCCATCTTCAGTGTAACAGGTATTTTTACAGCATTATTATACTGATGAGAGAGAACGTACGAAAAACTCCACGGAGAACATCCATTCTTGTAAAGATAAGAGACTTTCACCTAGTAAAGGAATGTTTCCCTTTATGAAACCAGAATACTTACCACCGTGAGGCAGATGAATCCAATCCACGACCTCACGGCCTCGCACCCTATTTCTATACAATTTAGTATCAAAGTATAGTAATAATAATAATAATAATTATTATTATTATAGTTACTTACTTACTTATTTGCTACTCGTGGAGCTGAGCCCTTTTGGAGGAGCCGCGAATTCTGGAGCTACTCAAGAATTACCAGAATTTTATGGAACCCGAAGGTTCATTACCTTGTTCACAAGAGCCCTCCACTGGTCCCTATCCTTAGCCAGATCTATCCAATCCATATCATCCCATCCTATCTCTCTAAGATCCATTTTAATATTGTTCACCAAACTACGCCTTGGTCTTCCCAGTGGTCTCTTTCCTTCTGGCTTTCCCACCAATATCCCATATACATTCCTCTTATCCCCCATTCGTGCTATATGCCCTGCCCACCTCATCCTCCTTGACTTGATCATTCTAATTATACTTGGAGAAGAGTACAAGTGGAGCTCCTCATTATGCAGTTTTCTCCGACCTCCTGTCACTTCATCCCTCTTCGGTCCAAATATTCTCCTCAACACACTGTTATCAAACGCCCTCAGTCTATGTTCCTCCCTTTATGTCAGAGACCAAGTTTCACACCCATACAGAACTACAGGCACAATTATAGTTTTGTATATTCTAATTTTTATGTTTTTGGACAGCAGACGAGAAGACAAAAGGTTCTGGACTCAATGGTAGCAAGCATTATCCGAGTTCAATCTCCTCTTAATTTCCTCCTGAATCAGGTTTCGATCTGTTATCGTTGTTCCCAAATATCTTTATGTCACGATTTTGGTGACGAGACAGCAACACATACTTAGTTTTCTCTGTGTTTACTTCTAGAACAACCTCTTTACTTGAGTCATTGAAATGGAGTGGCGATAAAGCATCTCCTTCTTTTAGACCATTCTCGATAGGAAATTTATCAGACAAATGTTTATCTATGCGGACTTTACTATACTTTCGTTTAAACACATTTTAATCAAACCTAACTAGTTTCATGGGTATCCCAAACTCTATTAGAATATTGTACAATACTCCCTCCTAACTGAATCATAGGCTTTCTTGAAGTCTATGAATAGTTGATGTACTGTCTCATTGTACTCCCATTTTTTCTCCAATATCTGACGAATGCCAAAATCTTATCGGTAATTGATATCTTACGTCGAAACCCACACTAATGTTCCCCAATAATTTCATCTATATATGGACTTAACCTTGAAAGAAGAACATTGAACAAAATTTGTATGACGTTGATAGCAGTGATATCCCCATAATTACTACAGTCAGTTTTATCACTCTTCTTGTGCACTGGTACAACAATAGACTCCTTCCACTGATCAGGTAATTTTTCCTTATGCCAAATAGAAGTAATTAGATTGTGGGTCTCAGAATGTAATATTTCGCCTCCTGCTTGAATAAGTTCTGCCGGAATTTGATCACTGCCTGGCGATTTATACCGTTTCAATTTTGCAATAGCACTTTCAAGCTCAGAAGGGCTAGGATCGGTTACTAGCTGCTCAACTCTATCGATTTCTGTCTGCCTAACATCACTGACCCTATGTACATTCAGTAACTGAAAGTAGTTCCTCCATCTATTCAAAATGTTGTGGGAATCTGTAAGCAGATCACCATTCTCATTCTTCACTAAGTTACTGGTAGGTTGGTAACTCCTCTTAAAGTCATTTATTCTTCTATACAGGTTTCTAATGTTCTTGTTATTACTGTTCATTGTAAGCTCAACAATTTTGTCTTTCAGATATTCCCTCTTTTTGTTCATGAAATGCCTGTTGGTTTCACGTCTTATATTGTTCAGATTATCCCCATTTAACTCCCTTGGATCCTGTAACCATTTCAATTTGGCCCGCTTTCTTTGATCTAATAATTTTGAGCATCCTTAATCGAACCATGCCTTATGCTTCTTGAGTTCGCAATAACTTGGACTCTCTTTGGCAGACATTTTTATATTCTCTCTAATAGTTTTCCAAGTTTTACTAACATCCACCTCAGTCTCCAAGTTTTCCAAAGTCGCGAACCTATTTCAGATTTCAACGCAATACTGCTCTTTAATTTCTTGAGAGTGAAGGTCTCCATATGAACCCTGTATGTTGTTTGTTTGCTCACTGCCAGTCTTTCCTTAACCTTTGCCACCACCAAATAGTGGTCAGTATCACAATCTGCTGCCCTGAATGATCGGACATCAAGTATACTTGAGTGCCGTCTCCTGTCTATCAAAATATGGTCTATTTGGTTGTGTATCTTCCCATCAGGAAATGTCCAAGTAAATTTATGGATGTTACGATGTGGGAACATTGTACTTTTGACAGTAAGATTTTTTGATGTGGCGAAGTTTACTACTCTAATTCCATTATCATTACTAATTTCATGCAAACTCTCATTCCCAATCGTTGGTTTTAAAATGTCTTCCCTCCCTACTTTGGCATTGAAATCTCCTAACAAAATTTTCATAGGGTA